CAGACCCCTACGTGAAGGTGTGGCTCATGTACAAGGACAAGCGGGTGGAGAAGAAGAAGACGGTGACAATGAAGAGGAACCTGAACCCCATCTTCAATGAGTCCTTCGCCTTCGACATCCCCACGGAGAAGCTGAGGGAGACGACCATCGTCATCACCGTCATGGACAAGGACAGGCTCAGCCGCAATGACGTCATTGGCAAGGTAGGCAGCAAGGCGTGTGGTGCCCAGCGAAGGCCTCTTCCTCTTTTTTTCTGGGTGTGGATCTCACTGTCACCCAGGCTGGGGTGCAGTGACAGGATCATGGCTCACCGCCGCCTCTACCTCCTAGGCAGTCCTCCCTCCTCAGTCTCTCCCGCGTAACTGGGACTCCAGGTGTGCACTACCACACCTGGTTAATTTTTGGATTTCTTGGAGAGATAGGATCTTGCTATGTTGCCCAGTCTGGTATCAAACTCCTGGCCTCAAGCAATCCTCCTGCCTTGGCCTTCCAAAGTGCTGGGATTACAGACCTCAGCCACTGTGTCGGCCAGGGGTCCGTTCCTTAAAAGAAGCAACAGGGTGGTACAGGTGAGCACAGGCTGGACAGCAGCAGAGATCAGGATCAGTCATTTCCCCTTTGGAGCCTCCATTTCTTTTGTTTGTTTGTTTGTTTTTGAGTTGGGATCTCACCCCGTCGTCCAGGCTGGAGTGCAGTGGCATGCTCCCGGCCAATGCAGCCTTGACCTGCAGGGCTCAGACGATCCTTCTGCCTCAGCCTTCCAAGGAGCTGGAACTACAGGCATGTGCCACCACGCCCGGCTAGTTTTTTGATTTACTGTAGAGACAAGGTCTCAGCAAGTTGCCCAGGCGGGTCTCGAATCCCTGAGCTCAGGCAATCCTCTCATCTCAGCCTCCCAAAGTGCTGGGTCTATTGGCTTGAACCACCGCACCTGGCTTGGGCCTCCATTTCTTCATCAGAAAGCAGGGGATTGGATGAAACCCTCCCTAAGTAGCCTCCTGTGGGTTGATCAGCTCAGGACAGACCACTGGAAGGACAAGGAATGAAGGAAGCCAGAGAAATGCCCTGAATCTCAGAAAGAAGGTCCCTAGGCAGGACTTTCAGGCAGAACAATGACCTTGAAGTAGTATTGGCCTGGGTCCCATCCACACTGGGCAGGCTGCATGGGGCAGTGTTGAGAGCCGCAGTCAAACTCCCAGACTTCGGTTCCCACCTCATCTGCTGATACACAACCACATAACCCTGGGCAAGCTGCTTGGCCTCTCTGAGCTTCCATGTTCTCATTTGTAAAATGGAGCTGCTAACACCGACCCTACAGAACTTCACAGGGTGAAGACGTGTGGACGTTCTTTTTGTAGCAAGTGACCACTTCTCAATACATATGAACCAAAAAATTCAAACCTGGCCTTGAATTTTCCCAGGATGTGATTCTGTGACATAACATAAACCCTTCCTTTCTTTTTTTTTTTTTTTTAATACTTTGAAATGTCTAGTTCTGTGTTTATTTAGTTTAGTGTTTGCTGAGAATGTGGGCTCAGGAGTCAGACTGCCTGGGTCCAGGTCCCAGCTCCACCTCTTAACAGCTGCAACCTCTCTGAACTCACTTTCTCCTCCCAGAGTGAGGAGAGGAGAGTCCCAACCTCACAATGTGCTGGGAGGATTAAATAAGATAACACAGGCAAGATGTTTAGCTCAGTACTTAGAACGTATATGTTCACTAGTATTATCATAAAATATTTTTTTAGAGAAGAGGTCTCACTGTATTGCCCAGGCTGCCTCAGGCGATCCTCCTGCCTTGGCCTCCCAAAGTGCTGGGATTACAGACATGAACCACTGCATGTAGCCAAAAGTTATTTTTGAAATGTTCCTACTAAGGGCATGTGTCAGATGTGACAGTTTGACTAGGAGTAGTGTAAGAAACTAATGGCCAGGGCAAGCGGGGGAAGGGTGGATGGCAGGAGAACACAGGTCACCCAGGCATTGCCCGGTAGGGGTGGAAATGAATGGGGGACTCGGGCAGACAGCTGGGAACAGGGGAGTCAGCTGCCGGGGGTGAAGGAGGCAGCGTGGCCTCAAAGAAGAGAGCGGGTCCTGCCTGCCATCAGGTATGGCCCAGGAACTGCAACCGGCCAACACGTGGTCACAAATCCCTGAGAGGACGCCACCCATACTCCAGAGAGAGAGAGAGTGCTCTGGGCAGGACTTGGGGCCTGCTAGGCCCCCCTTGACCAGCTCAGCCAAGTGTCCATATCTGCTTCTAGGTTCTTCTGAAGCATGGCCTTTGGGCGTAGAGTGTTCCTTAGATGCCGATCGTAGCTCCTTTTGAAACAGTCCTTTGGTGGCTGAACCAAGGAGAAGGTGAATTTGGTCTCATTCTGGCCTGGGTAGTTTAGCGAGCCCAAGGACTTCGGAGCCCCTTTGACTCCTGGAAGCCTGAATCTGCCCCTCCTGACTGCCAGGCGTCGCTCAGGGCTGTGGAATCACGCTGGGCTGAGGTTGCAAATGGGGCCAACCCCAGAGTGAGGCCTAGTACTCTGTGACCCCACGGGGGTGAATAGTCTGTCGGGTTCAGGGGGATGGAGCCCACAGATGGAGAGAACTCACCACGTGGACGCACACCCCCATGCCGGTGACATGGACACGAGACATGCGCCGTCCGGCCCAGCCATCTGTAAGGCAGATACCACCATCAGCCCATTTTACGGAGGAGGGCCCGAGGCTGAGTGAGGCCACCTCCCGGTGTGTGGCAGAGCTGGGGTCTGCTCCCATTCTTTTTTATTTTGGAATAATTTTAGATTTTCAGAAAGGTGGCGAAGACTGTCCAGAGTTCCTATCTACCCCTCATCCGGTGTCCTGCTTGTCACCCTCTCACAGTCGGATGACACATGTGTTGCAGCTTAAGGAACCAACATTGGTGCATTACGATAAACTAATCTCCAGACTTTCATTGCATTTCACCCGTTTTCCATAGAAGTCCTCTGTGTTCCAGGAGCCAGTTCAGGGTATCACTCTGCATTTAGCTGTCACTCTCCTCTGGTCCGTGACAGTTTCTCAGTCTTTCCTTTTTCTCTATAATCTTGACAGCCTTCAGAAGTACTGGCCTGGAGTCTCATAGAAGGCCTTCCCAATCTGTACACCTACCTTTTTTTCCCCAATGCCTATACTTTGAATCAGTCCCAAGGCTGAGGCCAACTGGGCTGACCCTGGGGACTCTTGGGTGAGAGGCTATGACGCCCCTAACACAGAGGCCGGGCAGGATTGGGTGGTTGTGTAGAACCCAGAACATTTGGATTTAAATCCTTCTGCGGAGGCCAGGCATGGTGGCTCATGCCTGTAATTCCAGCACTTTGGGAAGCTGAGGTGGGATTGCTTGAGTCGAGGAGTTCAAGACCAGCCTAGGCAATATTGCGAGACCCCCACCTCTACAGAAAATTATCAAAAACTTAGCCAGGCATGGTGGCATGTACCTGTAGTCCAAGCTACTCAGGAAGCTGAGACGGGAGGATCACCTGAGCCTCGGAGGTTGAGGTTGTGGTGAGCCATGATCATGCCACTACACTCTAGCCTGGATGACAGGGTGAGACCCTGATTCAAAAATTAAAATAAAAGAAACCCTCTGCACTATGTACAAACTCTATGACCGTGGGTAAGTCTCTTAACCCTTTGTACCTTGGTTTCCCCACCTGAGAAATGGGGATAATTATATAAGGTGTTGGCCAGGGCTGTAGTCCCAGGACTTTGGGAGGCTGAGACAAGTGGATTGCCTGAGCCCACAGGTTCGAGATCAGCCCGGGCAACTTGGCGAGACCTCATCTCTACAATAAATCAAAAATTAGCCAGGCGTGATAGTTCTGGCTACTTGGTAAACTGAGGCAGAAGGATCACTGAAGCCCAGCAGGTCAACGCTGGGGTGGCCATGAGTGCGCCACTGCACTCCAGCCTGGGTGACGGAGTGAGACTCCAACTCAAATAATAATAATAATAATATAAGGTGTTTCCCTCACCATTGTAGGAGTTGGTGATCTGCAGGTGTGAAGATGCCTGACATGTAGCAAGTGCCTAGGAGGTGGGGAGTGGTGGTGATTGAGGCCTCCTAGATAGCGCCCTGCCCCCCCCTGCAAAATGTGGTTGGTGGTGTTTCAAAGGGCTTGGGGGCGAGGAGGGAACAACCAGGAAAGCAGGTCAGGCCAGCACGGGGGAGGAGGAAGGCGCCTCTGCGGAGCAGGTGGTCACTCCAGGCGGAGGTCCCACAGTCCTGGCGACCACCAGCTGGGGCATCATAGTGGAGCTGGCATGTCACCCCCTGGTGGGGGAAAGAGGCAGTGCCCAGACACTGAGCTGACCGGCCCTCTCCCCTTTCTCCCCAGATCTACCTGTCCTGGAAGAGCGGGCCAGGGGAGGTGAAACACTGGAAGGACATGATTGCCCGGCCCCGGCAGCCTGTGGCCCAGTGGCACCAGCTGAAGGCCTGAGTGGGGCCACGGGAGGCCCAGGGGGCCGAGAGCCCGGGTCCCCATCATGCCCTCACCACCTTCTGCACAGTGCCCGGCCTGGCCCCCCTGCCATGGGTGAGGGGAGGACCCTGAGGGCTCAGCCAGGGAGGGGTCCCAGGACCCAACTGGACCCTGTTTCTAGGAAGTACCAGCCCACCCCCACCGGTCTCGCTTGGGGGGAAGGGCTCTGGGAGCCATTTTCCTGCTTTGCCCCTTTCCTTCTTGACTTGCTGATACTAAAGAAGAGGGGGAGAACTCGAGAACCAAACAGCCAGACAGGCAGATCCCTCCAGAGGCCCGCCAGGTGGGCATGGGCCCCCGTTTTCTTTAAGGCAGTGCCTGGAGTGGAGCAAGGCCACCCCCTCGCCGCCCCCGCAGCGGGCCAGGGGAGGGGAGGCTGAGGCGTTTGGCCCCAGCCTGGCCAGCAGAGGCCCATCCCCAGGGCAGGTTCAGGTGCCGGCTGGGCCCTGAATGCCAAGGATAGTATGCAGCCTGCTCCTGGGTCCCGGGCCGTGGCCCTGTGTACTTGTGTTGTGTCACTGTGTGTGTGCGTGTGGCAGGGAAGCCTGGCTTCCTGTCCCCCGGGGGAGAAGGCAGATTTCGTGCAGAGAGGCCAGGCGGGCTGAGTGGGGTGGAGGCGAGGGAAGGACGCCGTGGGCAAGAGGGCAGACGCTGGAGCTGGGCGGGCACGGGGCTGTCTCCTGCCATCCCTCATCTCCTCCCCACCCCCGTGCCCTCCTCTGCTCAGAGTCCTCCATCTCTTGAACATTGGTTCACCCCTTGTAGGCGCCTACTGTGTGCAGAGCATTCACCAGGACTCACCTGCTCGCTTCCTTCTCGGGGGTCCCAAGCCCCTCTAGCTCTTTCCTAACTCCCTTATCGAAAGCCTCCCCGCCCCGACAGACCTCACATCCCGGCTTTCTTGGCCATATTCGCCATGCCTTCCCGTTTCCCTGCCCTTCCGCGTCTCTCCCTGCCAGTGCAGACCCTCACCCGCCCCTCACTCCTCCTCCGCCCCTCCCTCCCCGATGCTTGCAGACTCCCCACTCCTCCGTCCCCTCGCATCGCCCGTGGCCTCTGAGCTTGCGTCGCCGGGCCTTCCCCGGCCGTCTTTTCGCCCTCCCGACTCCCCGGGCCCCCGGCGCAGGGCGCGGAGGCAGGGAAAAGACCCGGATTCTGGGAGGTCCGAGGTCGCCCCACCCAGAGGAGCCGCGGCTTCCCTGCCTCCGCCCCTGCGGAGCTGAGAACCGGCTTCGCCCTGGGGACGGCAGGTTTCAGGATGATACCTGCTGACGGCCCCCCCGGCCCCACGCCGGTCGCGATAGGGACGCCCGGGCCCGGCACTTCCAGCATCGGCCGCCAGGCGGCGCCAGGACACCGCAGTCGGGGCCGCGGCGCTCCCCTGCGGGCCTGGCACCCCGGGGCAAGAAGGGGCTCCGGACAGGGTCCCCGCTCCCGAGCACCACGGCAGCCTCGCCACGCGGGCGGGGGCGCTTCTTTCGGCAGCCTCCCCTCGAGCCGAGCAGTCTCCTGCCCCCCCCGGGGCCCGGAGGAGGGCCGCGCGTGTGGGCGCA